CATAAAATCCATTAAAATAAGATTCTTATTATATCCGGATAGCAGGACTGTAGAGTTGTGACACAAGAGATAATAAAATTGGTACGATCTTAATAACATTGATAAATTTTGTCTGACTCTCGTATAATTGTGGTATAAAAATAAATGCAGTACGAATTAAAACTGCCCTTATTAAAAAAACTAAATCATTAATATCAATGTTTTCCGGTGTTCCCTCCCGGGCATTTTCACGCAACGCAAGAGGAACTCTTGATAAATTGACACATCATCTCTAGAAAAGTAAATTCTAGTGCGATTTTATCGATATTGGTTTTTATAAAAGTAAATTGCCAATAAAACCAGCAGATGTCGGAAAGAATTTTTCTTCATTTAGAAAGTCAATACCACGTAGACACCGAAGGCAACATATGTGCCAATTTATTTTAGGATATTAGGTATTTTCCGGGAGATATACCGTTCACATTGCCGAAAAAATTTCTGTCTCACTAGATTGAGCTTTACGGAACACATCAAGTTTCACATTTCACACACACTGTCCAATGTCCGAGTCACAACTCAGAGTTGCCCAAATTGCTCATAAATAAAATTAAAAACTTTGAAACTTGACGAATTATTTTATAAAAACCATCTCTCATCGCATCCATTTTATCGCATATAATCAATAACTATGTGACACTGGCGACATCGGCTTTCAGATAGCTTTGTTCTGATGAGTCTAGACTTTTTTTTTAATTGCATTAACTGACGATCGAAATGTCGAATAATTCACAGCGTTATTTGCAAAGTCAAAGTCATTTGTTTGCCGATGATGAATTAGAAGAACAAGGAAAAAAGGTCTGATTTGATTCTGGTCTGGTTCAATCAAACGTCACAGAACTGAACCTTTGACAGATTGTCATGCTGATTTGACGTTCCCGTTAAATGTTTTCAACCCTTACTTACTCAATTGTATACGTAAAATATCACAAAATCGCAGACGACTTTGAGGAAACATTAAAAAAAAAACGAAAACCGAGTGGGTTTCCGCGGATTAGTTCCAATCGAAGTGGGGCCATTTTAAGTGAAAACCAGTGTTGTGCTATATTGCCTTTTTGTTTTCGACGTACTTCGCTATCTCCGGCGGAATGACTTATTTACAATTCGCTTCCGCCACTTCGAAAAGCAGGGAAATTACGAAAACTTTTTTGCCATCGAGTTTTATCCCACGATATGAATTTATTACCGTGCCTATCGATGTCGCCCTGTCTGGTACGTTATTTGGAAAGGATTTTTGTACTTAAGTTTCGAATAACAAGATCAAGAGAAACGAAGTTGTGTGTACCGAACGATCTCCTTTATAAATTTTACAAACGATCGGGAATAATAATATGCAAATCAACATTAATGTTTATTTATATTATACAATTTCATACACTTACGAGACTGAAATCCTATTTTAATTTACCTACTTTGTTGTAGGGTTAATATATCATAATGTAAAATTATTATATAAGCTAATTAACAATTAACACAACAGTTAAATGAAGTTACAAAAATTTCTTGCTAGATTAACCCCAATAAGAAAATTGCTTTTTTTATAATAAAATGTTCACTAGGACTGCCATATACATTCAAAAGGAGAGTGACATGTTTCATTAACACTGAAATTTTTTAAATTAACTAACTAAAATTCATTTAAATAACATCAAATCTATAATCATTACGTCTAGGTAATTTATAGAGGAAAATAAATTCTCGCTAAACAAATAACATAATTAAAAACCAATATTACTACGCTGGCTAATTAGACTCAAAATAAAGTTCGATGTTTTAATTTGTTAATTTCCAAAGCTTGAAAAAAATTTAATTTGAACCCTTTGCTTTCAAAAGGTAAAATTTGATAATCTTGATTAAAACCACGATTCCATTCATTCAAGTTTTTCATTGATGAATGAATTATGATATTCTTTTATACGTTGACCAAAACGTCCTGTTTGGTCTATATAAGTTTTGGGATAACAATTACAAGTTTATATATCATAATTCATTGATCAATTAAAAGCTTGATTCAATTCATTTGAGGGAATAAAATTCCAGTTTCAATAAGATTTTCAAATTTGCTTTGGTGTAAGTGTAAGTGCTGTAAAAATGGTATCTAATATTTGTTTTTTTTTTTTAATTATGTTACCTATTTAGCCAGAATTTAGCCTCTTTTATAAATTACTTCGAATTAATGATTATAAATGTTGTGTTTGCATAGATGAATTTTGTTATTTAATTTGAAAAAAATTCTAAATGTTAACCAAACATGCTACTTTGCTGTGAAAGTCCTAGTATTATAGGAAAATATATAAAATCAGCGACATGCTAGTTACAGCTTTCCTATAATAGATATAAATGGTGTAATGATTATTCGGCAATATCGATTCTCAAAATATTTGGATAAAATTTGATCGCCAACATTTTTTTTGTTTTCAACCAGATTTTAGTTCTGGACATTAAGTACCACTAAAGAAAACTAATTCGAGCCGGATTGAAAACAAAGAATATATTTACGATTCAAATTAGTCATAATCTCGATGATAGTTTAGCGGAACATCACAACATCACACAAACAGACGTCCCATCATCAAACCAATCAAACACCAAGAAAACAAAATGACAACAACATCGACTGTGGTCTAGCGTCATTCAACATTAATATCGTGTGCAAGCAGAGAGTGTCAAGTCAACCCGTAGAGAATTGGTTAGGTCCCAACGTGCAAACGATCGAGAAAAAGTTAACACCTACAACACCGACAACAGAAAGGAGTCCGTCGAAGCACCTGCTCTCCTTAAAACGCGCGTTATGGAAATCGTCGAACTTAATGAAACATTTAACACACAACATCGAAACAGTAAAATAAACACACAGATTCGGTAGGTACCTACCAATAAAGCGATATTTTGATAAGAAGTCGTTCATCTACAGGTCGACAGCGACGATGCGGATATCCTGTACATAGCATAATTAATAATTGGGTATACAAAAAACTCATGTGTGCTTAACAAGTCCGAACGTATACTTTAGTATTTATTTATCACGCATTTGGTAAACGGTCGTTAAAGTTTGCGGTATGTGAAATAAAACAAACCTCTACTAAATGGAAGCGGAATCAATCGATAAGGGCAAATAACAAATTTGTTATTGTTTGATAAACATTAACACTGAGACTTCAAGCTCTGATATTTCGAGGCGACCCAGAAGCCAAACCAATATATAATTTTTGTTAATAATTCTGGGGCCAGTATACCAACAGCAAATTGGATTTGCATTAAGTTGACGGTGACCACTTGTTCAATAGTCAGAGTAGAAAATTAATCTCATTTGTAACATGGCACTAGGTATTAATTAAAGCTAAATATGGGGAGATTGTGTGTCGAAAATTTCATTACCCGGAAAATAAAAGTTTCAACGTAGCTACGTGTGCGTACGAGTATACATGTTTACGTTTACATGCAAATATGTACAAACGAACTTTTGGCATTAAAAAATCAGTAAATAGGGGGTCGCCGTTGGAACAATCGCTGCTGATTTCAGCCAGATATTGTTATGACACGTGCATAGATACAAGTAGTGTTTACCGTCGAAGCTATAAATGTTTGTTGTGGTTGTTTGTCCAAGGTGTGCCAGACGCTCATTTTGTCACACCCAATACTTCATACAAGTCACATCTACCAATTACTATTTACGTATTTAGAAATATTAAAAGGCTTTTACGTTGGGAATATTTTTCTTCAAAAACTTTTTATATTCGTTATTTGTATTTTCCAGCACTATTTCAAGATCACGAGGATAATCCCGGCTTATTTATATTCAATAAGAAATTCTCAAAGGAAGCTTTGGCTAGTAATAGTATTTCGTTCTTACAAAGAGACTAAGGGATATACTCGTTCTTTTCCTACAGTGCGAATACGAACAACTGATGATGTAAATGAGTGTCTTTAATGAACAAGGATAAAATCAACCCTAGCCGACACCCTGTGAGGACGCACGTCTTTGAACGCACTGATAAAACCGTTAGCGCGCGATAGAAGGGAAATATAAAAAACGGCGAAGCGAATTTGCCATGGATGAAAAACCCCCAGTGGCAATGAAGGAGCAAATTAAACTCCTCGTGATGCAATTGTTAAGATTTAATGTCGGTAATTTATAAAATTGTCAAATGCTTGGATAATCATTTGTGTACATTTTTAAAATGATGGTGAGAATATAACATACAAATAATCGATAATTACCAAGTCTTATAATTGAAATTCACGTCTTTGCAAGAAAAGTTTTTACCCCACGGTAAAAAAAAATCTGCTGCCAAAGCTGTAAGTTGTATATTAGTAACAATAACTTAAACTAAAGCGAACAGAGCTCGCGTACGCGCGAGAAAACGATCGTCACTAACCAAAACCTAACCTAAAAAATTAGGCGCCAATTTAGAAAATTTAAATAGAAAAAAGAATACTAACCAAATTTACCTTGATCGGATCGTACGAACTGACGTATGCTGATGTCCGACGTCCTATCAAAGATCTGCAGCCGATTGAGCTCGATCTCCTGCCAGCCATCGGCAGGCCGTTAGTGTCGCAGGAGCAGATCACGAGTTTAGAGACACGCTCTCCGAATTTAGAGCCGGGTACGGCATACACTTGTTTAACGGGTGACGCCCACGATGTTACTGAAGGAAGCCACAGATGCCGCGCAAGCTCAACCATCGATTAAGCTAACACGTGCATTAAGCAGGCTCATTTGCGAATGTGCCCCTCGAGTTCTGTTTCGCTCAAGGCGCCAATAGACAGTTCCTGCCTTAATGTGGTTGAAAGCTTCTTCGAAGTCAACAAACACTCCTGCGATAAAGTGGCGTCCATATAGTTGTATGAGGCTGCTCCGATTAGACAGGCTGATTTACGGTATACAGACCAGCAAGAAAATTTGATATATAAAATAGTAAAATTGTGAATGTGAAAAACTATTTTTTGTATATTCTCAGGACAGTTTTACTTAACCATTCTTTCTTCTTCGCGTTGTCGAACAAGAATATTTTGTAGAACATTCTGTATCAAGTTGTTAGTTGAGTTGTTGTTGTTACTAAAAAAGCAATATACAGTGTGTCCAAGACAGGGATGTCATAGGGATATTGGAAACCATGGTTAAGTTAGAAAAAAGTTAATAACGTGCTTTTGAGAAGATACGCCAAAAAACCGAATTGTGTTGATTATGTTTTAATTTTTCTGGTGTTGTTTAGAGAGATATGAAAAAATAATATTTTTTATTTGACCATAACGGACGACTAATAACTTGATACACTCAAAACACAGGGCGTTCTACATATTTAATAAAAGCAATGATTCCAAATAGGGTTCGGTTAGTGTAAAGCTCCCTCTTACTTTACTTTACTTTACTTTTTTGACGTCTACATTTGAGAATTATTTTATTTAGTACTCGTTAATGTACAGCATAAGAGTAAATTAGGTAATGGGAAAATATAAATTAATTATGATGAAATAGTCCCAGATACGAGCTTTAGAAAGGCTAGGAGTGACGTAAGAATACGTGACGTAGTTGAATCTTATATGAATGATGAATTTATTTTAGTATTAAATTCTGATAAGCAAGCACTAAAAAATAGATGGGACAGTCTTATGAAATGTAGAAGGAAGAGTAGCATTTGCAATTGACATATAAAAAGGAAAGCTGAAGATCACGAAAATAAGTAAATTCCAACAGCCAGCAGCAATAGCATAAAGTAAGGAATCACAGAATATCACTACTGCCATTATTTTAGTTTCATGGCACTTATTAGTGTAGGAATTTTTATTTCACTTGTAATAGAGGTTTATTATTACGTGATTTAGTTCTTCCACAACTTCATTCTTCTGAATAATGATCCCCAACTTACTAAGAGCTTGGAACATTGCTCAATATTTCACGAATTTCACCATATGTACTAAAAATTTTTTTTTAATTTTTTTTTTACTTTTTTACAACTCACAACTAACAACTTCATCCATTCAAAATGCAATAAATTTAACTAATGTAACTGATTTTCTATGCGGCCCTATATATAATTTCGCTACACTTTTCCTCAGCTTAGTACGTGGTTAGTTCTTTTATAATTTAAGACGGGCTGTTATGAATTTAGATTTTATCCATGAAGATTTATTTTAAAAAGTGGCAAACGTGACTGTCAGAATATACTCCACAACGCTTTCAGCGTAAACGAAAACACTTAATGGACCGTGTTTTAAGATAGCCTTTTAAATCAATTCTCTATCCTGGCAAGAAATGGCACGATCCTAGGATTTCCCAGTTTTAAAGCATTATTTCTTAGAATCTGAATTAAATTTGTCTTTTCTGAAAACTGGTATGAGTGAGGATCCTAATCAAATGTCAAATGTCAAATGTCAAAATGAATATTTGTTGAACGTTGTACCTGAATTATTGGAAAACCTAGAAAAAAGGCCATTTTCCAATAAAATACCCGTAAATTCACAGTCCATGTTTTTAACACCGGTAACACCAGATGAAATCTGTCATTTTGCTGAACAAATTAAAAATAAATATAATAGTGGAATAGACGAGATTCCAACAAGTATAATAAAAATGTCTGTCCCGTATGTAAGTAAAATGTTGTGTCTTTTGATTAATGAGTCATTTAAAAATGGTGTTTACCCAGACCAACTTAAAACAGCATTAATAAAACCGCTCTATAAAAAGGGAGATCCGGAAATAATTACCAATTATAGACCAATTAGCCTTTTGCCCGGGTTTTCTTAAATATTTGAGATGGCTATTTGCAAAAGACTCCTAGAGTTTTTTTATAAATATAAAATGTTCAACAATCATCAGCATGGTTATGTAGCTAATAAAACAGAATCAACAGAAACCGCTATATTTCAGTTTATAAAAACAATTTTAAAACACTTGGAGGGCGAAAGAATAGCTTTAGGTACGTGCTTAGATCTTTCTAGAGCATACGACTGTATAAACAGGGACTTATTGCTCAAAAAATTGGATTTATACGGTGTAAGAGGTAATGTTCTAAAATTGTTTGAATCATACTTAAGAGGAAGGAAACAACAAGTAAGAATAACCCAAAATGGCACTAGTTATTTTTCGGATATTAAGGAAAATAGTCTGGGCATAGCACAAGGCAGTATTCTTGGTCCGATTTTATTTATCATTTTTGTGAATGACTTGTATTTCTCAACACAGTCAGAAGAAGAGAGCATAATATGCTATGCGGATGATACCAACCTGCTTGTAAGTAGAAATAATCTCACTGAGGTTAGTGATAAAGGCAACGATATTTTTACAAGGACTTATGACTGGTTTCTAGGAAATAAATTGATATTAAACAAAGGAAAAACGAATTTAATTATGTTTAGAACTAAATTATGTGGAATTGAAATACCATTAAGAATACGGATAGGTAAAGAAAATATTAGTATTGTAAATAGCACTAAATTCTTAGGTTTACAAATTGACGAATTTCTTGATTGGTCTGAACATATTGGTTATCTGCTAAATAAATTAAATTCAATTTGATATGGAATTCGAGTCGTTGCAAATTATATGAATAAGGAAACTTTAAAAATTATGTACTTTCCAAACTTTCAGTCGCGCATGAGGTATGGAATTATCTTTTGGGGTGGTAGTGGTCAACTACAGAAAATTTTCGTGGTTCAAAAGAGGACTCTTCGCACTGTCAAAAAAATGCAATTTAGAGAGAGCTATAGAGGGGTGTTCAAGACTGAAAGTATTTTTACTCTATTTTTATTTTTACTCAAATGAGGTAAAAACAATTGCAAATCTAAAAATCTTTAAATACACAATAAAAAAGTTATTGATAGAGTTAGAACCTTACTCCATAGAAGATTTTTTCTGCAAAATTTAAATAATTGTAAATACGATGTAATTGAAATTTGTAACAATATCTGGTGCTTTCCTTTGTGTTTGGTATATTATTTTTAGATAATGTATTTATGACACAATGTGAAATAAAATTGATTATTATTATTATTATTAATATGGAATACCTATTTTTAAAAATCATTTAGTACACAATATATTATCAGGAGATGACGATCACGATAAAGAATATGATTTGGATACTTAGCTTTACAATTTTGGTCAGAAATGGCCAAATTTTTCAGTAATCGATTATTACGAAACGTGCACATAAAGTGTTTTTTGCTGTCGATTTGCCCTCTTAGTGTCGAATGCCCATTAAATCAAAATCAGGCTGACCTTGTTTAGAAAATAAACTTAACAAATCCCAATCCCCAAGATTTCCGAGACCAATTACTTGTTGGCTGCATCAACATTCCCGTAATCCATCGATTTCAATTCGCCGTTCTAAAGTAAACGGTTCGTAAGTACTCACTCTATAGAGCCTCTCCGAAAAAGAAAATTGTAAATTTAAAAGCGTTGCCTTAGTAAATTAGCTACTAATAAAGCTAAAGCGATGAAAAGTGACAATATTTTGACCCAATTCCGTCCGTTGGTTTAATATTCATTTATTAAGGGATTTCAAGAGCTCGCCGTTTTATATTCGCATCGAAACGCATTAAGGGAGTATAGAGTCGGACTTTATTTGGAAAGCATGAACGGGGAACTCATTTTAAGCTAATGACAGAATAACCCCGAGCTTATATATTCCCGGTCGATTTCGCATTAAACGTAAACGTCTAAATGGCTCTAGTTTATCATATTCTTTCGAAATTTGAAAGAAACCACAATCGAAACTTTTTTCACTCAAATATGTGTTTCTTGGTGCCCCCTCAAAGGCCCTAATTGCTTATTTTTCCGTCTAGCGAAGCGATCCGGTGACAACGCTCATAGATGAGAGAATTGGTGCACGTAATGATATGGACGTTGTGTGAAGTTCCCGTAATGTGCATCCCATTTTTCTAACGAGAAAACAATCGACCATTGAAAATTCGCTTTTCAACCAGAACCGTGAGTAATGCAAATCTGTTGAGCGCTTGATGGTTTTCTGTAACCCAGTCGCAATTGTAATTGGCTATTATTTTATTTGTTTCAAAATTACACCCAAAATAATCTTTGCAGCAGAATTAAATGAATCGTAAATATATGCACTATATATTTTAGTTATATTGAACTGATCCAAATTAATGTTCGTTCTTAAATTAAATATTTGTGTCAAAACTAAAGCAATATAGTTTTACTGTATTATGATTTTTGCATGGGCAAACACAAGACTGTCTAGCTTTGCGTTTTCTTTTGTAAATAAATATAATTTTTTACAGTTTCTCACCGAAAAAGGAATTGGAAATCTTGTGGACTATAAAATCGGAGACAAAATTAAATTAAAATTTAATTTGCGACTAATATCAGAAGTATGTACTCATTTTAAATGTGTAAGTAATATTGTAAGCTTATATTCATATTCAACAGTAAGATTTTGTCTATTTGTCTGTACAATATATCCAATATACTTTTTCTGTGTATATTAGATAATTTAATAATTATTTTGTTTTTTAAAAAGAGTTCTTTTTGAGAAAATTCCAGGGTAGTTGCCAATGCGTCTGAAAACTATCTAAAGACCCAAATATCAAATTAAATTAAATATATCTTTGGCTGCGTTTTGAATACGTGGAACAATTCTGTGCAGCAAGGCCAAAGCTTCTTCGCCCTATCCTGCCACGATTCTTGTTTTGTTTTAAGGAGGTTGTTACTCCTCCCCCTCCACCAGGATTGGGACTGGTATAGGGGAGTTATAAGAAGCAATGCGAGTATAGAAGTTATTTGTAATTTTTGTAAATATATTTTTATTCAAATCGAATCGTTTATACTTCGAAAACGCGAGGGATTGGGAAATATGACGAGTAACTTTATTTCCTATTGACTTTTAAGTATTTAGTAGTTTAGTAAATCATATTTCTTGGAACTTCAAAGAATTTACTTTTTTTTTGTTATTTATACGTACATCTGCGACCAATAATCCATACAGATTTAATTTTTAAATAGTCTACATTTATTAAGAACTAAAAATTTTATAAATATGTTTTACAATAAATACCGTAAATGATGTACCACAATACGAATTTTAAAGTTCATTATTATAAATAAAAATGCTATATTTGTGAATCAGGTATTTATTTATCATCTTGTAAGTATCATACAGGACATGAATTAGATAATTCTACGCCTTGCTATAAGGCGACTCGGCGTTAGTGTCCAAATAGAAGGTGCCCGAAAGCCTGAAAATAAATGATTAGTGAACTTAAACATTAAATAAACATGTGTTATCCACTTACGACTTATCCAAATAAAATCCTCCCATACCTCCCGACCCCGTGCAAATGTTTAATTGAAACAGGTCGTAGGTGGCGCATTTTTTAGCAACGAATGCTTTTTTAACCACAGATTCCGCGTAATACTCCCATGCTCGACTGTGAGCGCATCCACCGAGTGCATCCAGTCCGCATCCTGGTTGCCTTCTGCCACCGTTTGGATAGAAATCGCTGTGGGCTACAGGTTCGGTGATTCCCAAGACACCTGCGTTGGTATGAATCGCCGTTACGTATTCGGCATCGTATTTACTTAAAGATTGTTCCGTATCTTTCGCGTTAAACAGCGGACCGGCCGGATCTAAACCCACGATCTGTTTGATTTTGCCTTTTAGTGTTTTCCCAACATGGCCGGCTGCGTGTGCGCCCAATGAAAACCCGACGATTGTAAATTTATCGTAGGAATAATCGAATTCTTCGTTTATTTTACTGATAAAGTTCGCTGCGATCCTTCCGGCACCGGAAACGGAATTTTTGGCGGTGATATAATCCTTCGCTGCGTAGGAACTCCAATCGATTTTAATGATATTCGCGTCTTTTGCGGTCAAAATGGCGTCTCTTAGGAAAGTGTTGGAACCAGCAGTGTAGTCATCTTTCCAACCGTGAAACAAGACCACGGTAGGTCGTGACGCATCGAACAGTCCTTTAATGAGCTTGATTTGGGGCACGTCTTTCGATTTAAGGTACACTCCTTCATATTGCAGTCGACTGTAGAGCACAAATGTTACATCTTCCTCGGCAATTCGAACTTCTGAAATCGATTTATTTACAGCCGGTTCGTATTAGTTCTCAATCAGAGTGTTCACTCACCGGGTAACGTTGCAGCCAGTCCTGCTGATACGACGAGAGCACTGAAGCATGTCAGGAGTAACATTTTTCCTGCAGTCGTCGTACCTATACACTTACTGCTTTTTAACGTAGCGTCGGTTTGAATTTATTAACAAGGCGAAGGTTTTAATCCTGCTATCACGAAACAAGATAGATGACATACCTACTCACGCCATTTCAATGGCGCGTAAGGATTGTCACTAATCCCTTCGCTCAGACAAATGAAAAACGAAAAATTTTAATCTTGCATCAATTTAATTAATCGGGAGCGAATTTTATTTTTGTATTATTGCGTACTTTGTCAGATATGTTTTATTCTTCTGCGCTTCCTAAATGTTTCGCTCCACACTTAAAACCTAATTTAAGTCACGACTTTGCATTCATTATTCGAGTCTATATTCAAAAATGCCGTGTAACGTCGTTCTGAAGTCAACTGGAAAATTGCAATTTAAATTGCCAATATGAGGTTATATATTCGCGAGAGCTTCCAATCACTTCTTTTACAAGTAGCATTAGAGGTCATTAGACCTACCGTCGTCCTTTTTCCTTCCTTGTCTTCGTTAATGGAGTTTCCCTTGATATAATCGAAAATTAATAATTCAGTTTTGTAGAGTACCTACACGGTGAACTTTGCTTCGAATACGAGTTAATGATTCTAAACAGAAAATCTACTTCATATCAGAGTCGCTCTTAATATCGAATTTTGTTTATTCTACAAGTCTTCTTATAAATAAATCCAAAGAAAGCAAATAAACTATAGTTTAGAACCAGGATACCAACAATGAGCATTTATGCAATAAATAAAATACAAGCCCACATTGACAGTTCCTTTTATATAAATTTGTATTAAATAAAGCAATGTTTTAATTAATATTAAAAATCCTCTAATTTTAAGTCTCTTATTTGTTGAATTATAATTTACATAAATCTATTTAATTAAAAATAATGTGACCGATTATGTTTGCTGCATTAATGTAAAATTTGTGTAAAATTTTTAGTGGATTAAATTAAATATAGTAGCTATTATATTTTTCAGTGATTTATGAAGAATATTTTTCCGAATTAAGTTTTATGAGGGTTGACATAATTGCTATAACAACCGAATAATAAATAAAGACTGATTAAAAGTATGCAGTCGGGTTTACAACAGCCTACGGCTAATTCTAAGCCGTGTCGCCATCTGTGGGTAGACATAAGTAATCAAAGAGTTAGAAATCCATCATTCACGAGCAAATGGGCACGTGGTATAAACTTGCATGGACGTTTTCGCTGCTTTCTTAGAATTCTAAGCAATGTTTTACTTTCAGAATTTGATGAAATGAAACGTATTGTATATATATAGGTTTTATTTTAATACTGTTTATAACGATAAATTATCATATGGTAATTAAGTATTATAATTAAAACATAGTTATGGAGATTCTGCAATCTGCAAATTACAAAATAAATCCTGCCAACTCTATTAAAATATTGGAAGTAAGTTTTAGCAATTTGATTTTTATGCGGTACCAATTCCAATGGCTACACCGGCAACAAAAGATACTATAAATATGTGCACTTCCTTCAGGCGGCATTCATCCTGTGTGAGTTTTGCAAACCAATTCTTCGCTTTATTTTGATGTTTCTTCAGTTTGTTTTCAGCTTGGGTCACTTTTCTATCCACAAGTCTTTCAGCCTTAAATTTAAAACGAATGGCAAATTGAAAACAATATTTAATTTAAACAGAACAGTTTAGACTAGCTTGAACAAATTATTTGGTAATATTAGCTTCTTTTCTTCCTAATGTGAAGCCATGCCAATCAAAAAACCTCCAATAAAACCAGATGAAAATGGAGTGTTATTTCTACCAAATTTGATTACCTGAAACAGGTTGTTTTTTATTTATAGTACCAAATAATTGGTTTCCTACAACTGACAAGTAAAGCAACACTACCTTATCCATCCATGAAGGTCCCTGGCCAGTTATTTGCTCTTCCACTTTGTCAGCAACTTTATCCAAGTTCCTATTAACTTTATCCCAATTAATGTTAATGTAACCTTTTTCATTTGCTATTTGCAACAATATAATGCCGCCTCCTAAAGCAAGAGCCGCAATCTTGCCTACCCTCATGGCAAGAAAACCTGTGGCCCTACAAAAATTGGTTACTTGATTAGTACAAACGGAAAAATAACTTACCATCCCGATGAAGCACCAAGGACAATTTGCTTGGTAGCAGAGGTTTTGCTAACATCACCCAGAATTCTTGATAAAAAATTTTTAGCATCTTCTGCCTTTTTCTCAACATCGCCCATTTTAACTATTTTAGAGTTACTTTTATCTTTAGCAAATTTTTCCGTTTTTATTAGGGACGGCATGTCACATGACCACTAAAAGTAAACAATTATTATTTACAAATTTTATACACTGGGTTTACAAAAAAAAACAAATGAATTACAAACAATTTTATGGATAAAAACAATGGGTGTGATCTTCGATACATACCTCGTCTCGTGTCTTATGACAATATTTGCCGGGAGTATTTATAGAATTAATACATCCAAACAGTAATAGCTATTTTTGTGTCAAATGCTGATCTCATATACAGTAGATCGATATACGATCATCCCAGAGCATCAACAGGCCACAGTAAAAAAAACCGTAATTCCGCGTAACAACAGCGCGCTCCCTTGGCTGTTTTTAGCATTAGGGCAGATTCCTAAGCAACTAGCTAAGGTCGTGATTTCAAAGATGGCGACACATTAGTAGCCTTATAAAAAAATATCTCATTTTCGGCGGCAAAGACGAAAGTTTAAAATACCAAGAAGCGTATTCTTTATTTAAAAATTTAAATATAATGTATTGAAAAATTGCTGTTTGCCACTATTTATTTGTTTATTTAATCACTACCGCGTCCTAGGGGGCTTCACAACTAAAGTTATACGTGTTAGAGAGAGCAATCCAAATTTAGATACATCTATACAATTATATACAAATATCCTAACACCTCAGACTGTAGCACCAATTATTAGGCGAGGTTTTAACGACGGAACTGCCTATTTGGTTCCATTCTATTTACTGTAGTTCTGTTCTAGGTTTGCTTAATACAAAAAATATTTTAATTGATTTATTCTCAAGATCGGGTATTTGCGAATCTATTTAAAGTGTTCCTCCTATATACGGCACTTTTATAGTATTTCAGTCAGTAAATATTATATTTAAGGAAATTACTCTTCTGGCGTTTGATAGGCGCGATTTTGTTCAACTTTTTAGGCAGAAATATTTCAGTTTCTCGCATTCTTAAATTATTTTGGGAAGTAATGGCGTCCTACCACTATTTATTCGAGGATAAAATCAATCATAAATGCATTTATTAATTGCTATTTTTATTTCTTTTTTTTTTTTCGTTTGTGATAATAGGTCAAAAAAAATCTCAAAAAGCAATTGGGCAAGAGTTTTAATTAACGGGTTGTGTTGATATAAAGTATTTTTTGAATTAAGGAAATGCTTTATGTCTTACATTGTGAGTATTATTATTGTAGGCATAAATAAAACACAATAAATTTAAATACATATATAGATTTTATTTATAAAATCAAGACATACATTCATAAAAAAATCTTAAGTAATATTGCGAAATAAACAACACTGATGCGACCTATACAAATGAGGCCCATCAATGTATACAAGTCATTGTTATACAGTAATCTAAATTTTTGATAAACTAAAGTTTGGATACAGAGAGCTATCTTAATTTAACTAAATATCTATAATATCAATTGAAGATGCGCGCAACTAACTACAACAGCCGCGCGAGAAAATAAATTAAAGAAATTAAAAAAAATAATGTACAATCTCTTTAGTTAGATCAGTACCACGTAGAATTCCATACTAAAAGCATATTTCAGAAGTGGGCGTGAAGAATTGTACTCCAAAAGTTGACTTCGATTTTTATTCACAACGGAGTTGCTTGGAAAACGATTAGGATTACTTGTAAAGCATAATAGATCAGGTACTTTGGAATTTTTCATTTGTCGGTATGTCTTAAGTGGGGTTTCATGATTCCCCGCTGAACCTCAATTTTAGAAACAATTCGTTAGACGGATGCAAATATTTAAAATAATAGAGCGAACTATTTCCGTAACCGCAAAAAATTATTTTCAATATATAACACCTATTAAATGATTTTGCAAAGAAATAAACTGCGGAGTTGCTTTTGAACAGACAGCGCATTTCTGTATTAGAACACACATTTAAGGGCACTGCCAAATTACAAAAATACATCTAGAGCGTTTATATATTATTTTTAATTTGGGAAAACCCAATGTCAAAAAAAACTTTGTTTTTTTGTTCCAAAACTAATTATTCAACATGCGGCTTAAAACAATCTTCTCGCGTTATGAAATAAATAAATTATTCGAAGTGAAAAATGTGTAAAAATTTTAATTTTTTTAATCATTACATACCTTCTAAAATTTGGTGTGATTTTTTTGAGAAGCACGTATATTTCGACCCTTGTGTACATTCTTCAAATCGAGAAATGGTTTTTTATTGCGACACAAAATATCGCGCATACATATCTACGTCATGGCTGGTCACTATGTACAGGTAATCATAATATATTCTAAAGCTATTTACAACGAATGATTCCCTTATATTCCCATCCCATACATACAAGCGTTTGAATCTTGTATACTGTGATGTTTAGATCATTTATATTAATTCAATTTTGAGATCATTTGGTGACCAAGTGATAGTAAGTGTTATAAGTCTATACTTTTGGTAAACTATGGCTTAACAAAACATTAAAAAAATAGACATAAATTCTCAGAAACAATAAAAACATTGCCACCTCAAAATATTTTATAACAGAATTACATTGAATGTGAATGACCAAGTGAATGTTTCTCAAACACAAACGTTGGTCACATAAACATAAAAAACAAGATACTAACAATAACTTAGTTTGGTTATAAAAAAATAGATAAAGTCGTGAAAATCAACATTCTAGATACCTAATATAAACAAATAATAAAGTTCTACGCTTTGTTCTTAATATTACTTCGTATAAAAAAAACAATCACAACAATTGGAAATGAAGTACGTAAATTATCAGTAGGTTCTTCTTTAGATTAATGGTTCGTCAACTCCACAAATGTTATATCGTATAAGTCTTCATCGACTGCCTTTACTTCTAATAAAAACAAATCTTCGTTGCAATAAAACGCGACCATGTCGTCGTCAATCTTGGCCGTAATGCTGCAAAAATAATAGACACTTTAGGATTCCCATCTCAAACCACACCCAATCGAAAATATGTTAAATTCCCGATGTTTGAAAATGATCCGAATCATTCGATTTTGAAAAATAAGAGCCTTTGTGTTTACTGGGGTCTTACAAAAAGTTAGTAATGCGAACTGTTAGTGCTTAGACCGTTAGTGTCCAGTTCACTTAATCACAACTGCTCCGTTTCTGAGAATTGAAAGGATTCCTATGTGAAAACTTAACTTACCCTTTTTTGTTTTTGCGATACAAGTTATTTATGCTCGAAGCGCAAATTTTGTACTTATTCTCAATCTGCAAAACAAGGAAAACAGAATTAATTCTTCTTCTTAATTCTCTTCTTCATTTTAGCATAGATTTAGAAGAAGTACTGAGCTTTTTTGTTGAAGACAAAAAAATAGTATGTTTAACGAGGTCGTATAAAAGTGAACTGATCCCACGTTGGTGACACAATATAAAATGATGTTAATTAATTCGACATGCCGGTTTTAGTTTGTTACTTAACCGTGTGTATGAGATGTGTAAAAGCCCAGTACGTCCAGGTCCATGCATTTTTAAGCACAGGGCTTCCAGATACTTGATCTACTAGCTTCCCTTCAAAATTAAAAAAAAAAAACCAACAACAATCAATAAAACTTTAAGTCGGATGGGAGGAATTAATAATTTTATGCAGGAAACTCGATCTAAACTGAAATGGACAATGTAAGAAGGCAAAATCGATTTCGTGAGGCAGATTTTATTTACCGGTAGTAATGTGTGTTCTTTTCCTTGTCATACACGGTAATACTAACGGCAGGTAAGTGTAATAAGTTAATGTTTATATTGTTCCCATTTGTTTGTTTTTTTTGGGGTTAAATCGTTGAATAGTTTGTCGCCATTTTAAATAATTTCATGGTAGTGATAATTAATACAATTAATTTTAAATAGTAAATTCTTGTGTCGCATATGGTTTTTTTTTTTTTTTTGATAAGTTTGCATATTGCACCCATTGATCTGATTTTGTTTTGTAATCAAATAATAATATAAAGTTTTTTACATAAATAAAATATATAAGTATGATAACGTAAATAAAGTGAAGTAAAGAAATGTTATTTATTCATTTACATAATATTTCTAATGTAAGTTTGTCCGTATTCTCTATAAACAAAAAATAAATTTGCATTTTGGTATTCTTTACATATTATTTTAGTTTTTCAGGAAATACAAAATATTTGTTAAATGTGCTCGCGCCGGGAAAAAGGACGTCACGTTCGCCATTAAAAAAAAATGAAATTTATTAGATGCCGCGTCAACTTTTTTTGTTAATTTTACAGTTAGTTGTAATATTTTTCATATATTTTTGTTTTTGCCTATTTTTTATATAGGCTGATCTATTGTTATATAAATGCAATGTTGTGAAACACGTGCTTCAAGTTTGTGCGACCCTTTTTTTTAAATCGTTAAAAAAATGCCTTTTTCGAAGGTTTTTTAAGTTGTTACATTATTTATTATATAATTTTATTTTATATATTCAAGCAAATGTTTAAAGAAAATATTGTTTTACCGCCAAATCGTCATGTGTAAATAAACTAATCAAACAATGAGAACACCCCATTGTCCCATTTGTATAAACGGGCATGAGAAAAGGGCCATCCCCATTACAAGCCGTCTTTTTCTATTGCAAAATTTGCCTCACTTTTCTATCAGGCCGTTGCCGTTCCAGTTTTCATCGAATTCGCTGATTTTATAACCTTCAACCGGTTAGTTATACAGGTCGTTTGGTAATTTAAAATTGCTGTTCTTTATAGGAGTTAAATTGACTTAATACTGACGTTGACTCTATATATACTCCCGCAAATTACGAGACGCCCTGTATACGTTGTTACCTTCGATTTCACTGGAAGCTCTGTAAGCGGATAAAGCTAAAGCGTTTTACTTATTGCGTCCTAAAGTACTTACAGCATTTAGAAGTCCAACGGTCGTCGGTGGCACCACGTGTAGGGGTGTGTAGACCTCTTCGTTCTCCTGTCTGACGTAGAGCATAACACGTTCGTTGAGTGGGGGTGGACCTGCAGAACCGGCACCACCCATCAATTTAGCCCGTTTCAATGGCGGCGAAAACATCGAACCGTCCGTGGTTAAACTGTTATCCAGGATACTTTCCTTTTTGTCGGCGTCTGGTGGGAAATGATTGTGGAACTTAAGGGTAGGCGTAGTGGGAGGTTTCGAGGCAGTATGGAGTAAAAAAGGGGACCCGGTCTTCACGTGGTCGACCGATCCGCTAAGGGAGCCGTCAGCGTCGTGCGAATAAAAACCTTGAAGTTCCATTGAGGTGAGCTGCAACGAAAATATATTCTATAATCAATTGAATGCTGCCCTCGCAGTACCTAATAATTGTTGTTATATTTCGGTGAGCTTTTTAACGTACAATGTTATCAGAACAATAATAACAAACAAATACTTGGTTATGGATCAAAACCACGAATTCTGCTACATAATTTTAAAATTAAGCTTCAAGGATTTGAACCTGTGAATAACACTGCATAGGAAATTCTGTTTACAAAAATAGAGATAGATAATAATAATTAACATCATTATAGCGAAAATCTGCCAATGAGATATTGTTTCACACCGAAACTTAAAATTGTAATTATCCTCACGGGCAAAATTTACAAGAAACTTCTGAAGAATCTAAAACAACGAACAAAGGTTTTATTTAGAACGACGGATCTTCTTAAACGAATGAATTCCACAGCATTCCAGTCGTGACACAATTTTGCAGGCAGCTTTTCAAAGACCGAAGGTAAAATTGAAAAGATATTCTAGAATCAAGTGATTGCTGCGTTCATACGACCTAATATTGTCCTGCTTTATTACAGTGAGCTTTTTAGAGTACTACGTTATCAGGACAGTAATAATAATCAAAGTCCTAGTTGTGGATCTAGATAACTCGCGAAATCAATAAAATTAAGCTCGAGGGACTTTAAATTGTCAATAATAATTGTTTTTATCGAATTATATTACGAAAGGTTACAAATATAGACCAAAGAAACGTAAAATTGGAATTATAAAATAGTCCATATAGATAAAAATTGACACAAAAGTAAGCAGTAAACGCGAAATAATTCTAGAAATGATAAAAAAACGGATATTAATTGAAAAATAACAGAATTTCTTAAACAAATGACCTCGTTCAGTCCTCCCACAGTTTCTTATCACCCATAGGAACATTGAAAATATCATTTAGGTAATCTAGTTTAATAGAGTACGGAACATTTTTTCTAGTTACAATTTAAGTAAAATTGCCCTAGCAGCGAGATCTAACCACTTACTTTATCAATGTCTTCAGCTGGAGAGAATAACACAGGCGGTTTATTAAGATCGCTCATGGTATAAAACTCGGAACGTTCGCACATGGGGTGGTATAACTCGTCGAGCTTTTTCCGCCCTGTCGCTGTCATCTTACGTTTCGCCGCCCTCCTTTCTTCGTCCCTTGTCTTACGTTCGGCGCCCTAAGCAAAACGAAAATAAAAACATCGTCCACAACATTGATTAGTCGATCGTACCTTATCACAGAAGACTTTAATTTGGCAATAGCCCCGATGATACACGCTAGTATCTCTAGGATCTTCGTACGTATCTATTTGGAGGTGAAGAGGTAGACCTTTCACACCTTTTTGGCTGCTGAAGTCGGTGCTCAAACACTGCACGGCGATGTTTATCTAAAAACAAAAATCGAAAATGTTTAAAACAGGCGCGAGAATCTTGTGACGTGTCTTACTTTAGCTGGGCTCTCCATGGGATTCCAGTAGATCGCAATCGCGTTATGAGCTACTTCCTCTATACACCCCACCAAGCCGACGCTGTTCTTTGTGTCTGAAATCGATATATTAATTAACGTCCAATCTTCGAAAACGTAACAAATCCGAATGGTTTAGTTTTCTTACTCACATTCCTTCGAGTAGCGTGAAACAATTTGATCGATTAATAACATTTAAAAAAATGAAACGGGACAAACATAACGAACCATAGCGCTTGTGTGTGCGTATTGTAACGTACACGCTCATGTCTGAATTCAATAAACTTTCTAACGTTTGCTCTTAAAGCAGCGTAATTTGTTTCTAAAATTTATTGTACATTGTCATCGCGTGTAGTAGTAGGCATAACTGTAACAATTTATGGACATAAATTTTGTAAAATGAATAATGTCATTTTATAAATAACCCCACACATCTGGAAGAACGAAATAGTATCGATAAGGCCCACGCTACACTCTCAGCCTACACTCGAAATTCTCTATAACTGAAAATGTTAAAAGATATTGGGTACCCACGTTGCCGGCGTAGCATTGCCGCCGTTTTCTTTATTACGGCGAACGCAAAACCCACTTTAAATATAACAATTGTACGTAATACGTATATTATTCTTAAAGACGAAGATGATTATTACAGATACGCCGCGCTTACTTAGAACCAGGCCTGATAAATTCCTGCTTATACTTTAGCTAGGTACGAATGTACGAACATCATTTAGATGTAAATTAATAAACGAGTGTTTACTAATGGCAAAACAAATAAAGCGAAATTCTTTCAATTACTCGAGTAAAACTCCATTTGTAGCACGCAATGGAGAGCTGCAATAATCAAAAATTTGAAAACCGTGGTTACAATCACTACTGACCAAAACTGTTTTTTTTTAAATCCAAGTCAAGGAAATGAGAAAGAATTTATAGAAAATTGTACTGCCGTCCTTTTTGCGACCAAACAAGGACATCGAAAACGCTTTGCGAACGAATTTGAGATTACGCGTAGGCGATCATTGAGCGAAATAATATCCCTACATACGATTACAGTAATTTAAATATCTAATGGCGATATTAAATATTTATAGGTGGCGAATGGAAAAATGTTATTAATTATTGTAAATCGTAATTGGAAGGCACATTGTATTTAAATCCGGCGCGTTCTCTTATGTCGTAAGTTTATTTTAATATACTTTAATTACACACGTGGTTTGGTTAAATTTCGATGACCTTGCGGGTCACGGCAATGTAATTTCGACGGCGGGGCTGTTAAAAATCGCCAAAATCGTCGCCTTTCGACGCTTAAATGAATCGATTAACTGTAGTTGGAGCGCGAACGCGTTAAAACGAGACGAAAGCTTTTGTCCTTTGCGCAGGAAACTGTAGGGCGTGGAACCGTGAAAGAAACGAACAAAAACAAAACGAAAACGGGTCCTACCTGCGTCTAAAATTCGTTGTTTTACCGAATGCTGACGACCGTGCCAGAACTGCCAGGCCTTTATTTCGTCTTCGGGACTCTTCTCTTCTCTAAACATCAGCATAACAATACTCTGCGAAAACGAATTCTATTTTAAAACAGAATACAAAGCGGCGGGGCTAAATCTGCGTATCCGAATAAATTTCTACAAATCGGTACGAAAAGTAATTAAGAGAAGAGCTTTTTTTTTTCGTTTGCCTTTTTACGCGACATCCTCATTGAAGTTTGCATTACCATTTCGCGCGATACCTCTAAAAATCGCAGATATTCGTTAAAACATCAAACGCTACGACGCAAACAATGTAATGTTTACACAGTTATGCGCAAACGCTGAAATTAACGTAGCAAGAAAAAAAAGGAGACGATATCTATAAGCAAATGAGCTTTAAAGACGATGCGAAAAAGAATAAAAATTGCCGACCGCTGCGATTGGATGAATTCTAGTTATATATTTATTACATTTGGACATTTCTTAAGGTGAAATTAAGATTATTATCAATATTAGCTGGAAATGGATTTTATACAAGGTTATGCACTTATATCGGATCGTTCGTATGCAAATTGGTCTCGGAATATACGCGACTTTCAAAAAATACCAATCGTTTTAACACAGTAATAACGATGCGATATTGGGGTTTAGAACGAGTGCTGATATTATATTGTTTTCGACCGCTTGTTTATTTGATTACAGAAAGTCGGTGGGGAAAAAACACCCCAAGAAACAAAACAAATCTTAAGAAGCATTCTGTTTATTTAGCAATAACACGGGAAAGATATCGCGGGCCATTTCATTATATGTTATTAATGTTAATTAAGAAACGTCTATAAACTTTCGTATTAATTGGTATAATTAGAGGCAATTCTTGGTCAGCGTTTAATGACTGAGTAGGTACATAATTGTAAATTGTCTTCAATAGAATTACCGCATTTTGTAATAGGATGGTAAGTCTGATCGTTACGGCATGACCATAACTGGAATCGAATGTCACACAGTCCAGTTTTTCGATAAGTCAGATTCTCGGCCGGTAATTGGCATCTGATGCGAAATGTTTTACCACTAATTCTTCATAATTTCATAAAAATACGAATATCCCATACATGCCGATCACCTCAAACGCGAATAAAAGAAAAGCATCTTTTTTTCTTTTCGCTCGCCTCACGACGAATAAGGATATATTTTATTAACTGCAAAATTCTCTTTTAATTACGCCGTTCGACGCGATGACACAAAAAAATTACGCATTACTATCCGATCCGCAGGTTTCGACTTATGTTGCGGCGATATTGCTACATCTGTGTCACCAATTGCCGTTGCCTTTAACGGGAGACATCAACGTTGGATCGCGACACTAACCCTCGACATTTTTCTATTTTAAATATATTTTCGCTATTGCGAATTTTGCATATCGATTATTATTACGTTGGACCATTGTGGAATACAAAATTAAATCCCCAGTAATAAAAAACAAACAAAATCGCTCACCTTTACGGTCTGTGACTTGAGCTGTTTATCCGGATCCGGAATATATTCTAACGTGATACCGTAAAACTGTCCTTTGTTTATGTACGTAATTCTATCGTCTTCGCGCCTTTGCGATGTGGATATCGGCGATTCTAAGTGATACTTGAAACCGTAAGGAGAAAATCTGAAAAACGAACGGTTCGCATTTCAAAAAAAATTAACGCGCCGGCGTCCAACTGCAAGTGTCGTTGTACATATATACAGGGTGTTTCAAAAAACATCACAAAAGGCTTGGTTTGTGATTCGTCATCCAAGAAAATTCTAGCTTACGCGTTGTTAAATATTTATTAAAAAACTCTTTTGTATAACATGATAAATAATTTTTAATCGGTTTTCTTGAAGCACAACACAACAAAACTTTTTTTAGTTGTTTTCGTATCTTGCCTCAGAGAGAAAAAATAAAAATCTTAGTTAATTACTTCTGAAAAGAAGGAAACTGTTGAAAGTCAGCAGGCATGAGGTATGCGACATAAATACTTAACAAACCAATCTAAGAAAGTAAGATTCCTGGACCTATGTTGACAAATTTTCGAAACACCCCGTAGATTTAGCGGCGAAAATGACGATTGCGACAGCTAGTTCCAGTTAAACGTCAGGTGTATGAGAATGCAAGCGACCTCTTGAACCGGGTCGCAAACTTTATAACGACACATGACACTAAAACGAATTAAAAAAAAACAACGCTTGTGAATCATCCAACTAGTCAAACTAGCCGCGGCCCATACTATTACAACTGTTCCTCGTGTCATGACACAAGGTAGGTACTTGCTATCAGGTTAACACAAGCCGAATCAAGTTTGTCCAGTTTAAGTCACCGTATACGCGCCATATCTGTCCGTTTGTTCGTTTGATGGAATTTAGGCTACTTCCGAGAACACTTAAAACAAGTTCCCATGTGTCTTCTCGCAATGGTACCTCCAGGACACCCCGAACGGTATGCGTTATGGTTCCGTTGGTACTCGAATTTCTCACACACACTCGATTTCGTAATGGTACTCACATTTTCGGGATTTGGATTTTGTCGGCGTCATTTTGTCGTCCGAAATCGTGCCACGGTCTACTTCGGCTCGTCGGTTGCGAACCAGGAGATTGAGCGCTGCTATTACTCCTTTGGGACAGCGATAGGGGATCCAAGAGGGTGGAATTGGTTTGGCACAGTTCCGTATAGTCGAATGACTGCAAAGGACGGCGTATTTTAAATACCTCGACCTGGTCCCAAAGCAACACAGATATAAAAAAGAAATAACCTTTTTAAAGAAAATATATTTCGCGTCACTCCAAAGTCCAAAGTCAAGTTCAAGTTTGCAGCGAATGCCCTTGCAAAGTTTTAGCTATAAAATTACACAAATTTTAAGCGACTCGAATTTGTTTTGGAAGACACCCCTTGAAAAAAGCAATTAAAGGTAATTGATTAATTAAATTCAAAAATTATTACAGATTTTTTTAAAAATCCTAGGGGTATCTTTTGAAAAAAAAGTTATTATTTTGTTTTTTTTTGTCGTTATTCAAGAAAACAATTAAAGTTGCTAAATTAATTAATTAACACAAACGTTAAACAAAATTATCGCGACCATATTAGATATATTTTTATGTAAAATTATACTTGCAACGCACCTATAGGGCTTAAAAGTTTTCCGAAATTAAATTCCGAAATTTTTTGACAAAAAATCCTCATTGTCGCTACTCTATTAGTATTGACTTTGGAAGAAACCAAATCGAGACAACATTTAATATTTATTTCACTAAAGTTATACTTTTGATGCACATAAGGCTTAGGAAAATGTCCTTAGAATATTTTTTGATAAAAATGGCTCACATTTTTTTTTGTATCGTCGCAACTTTATTATTATTGACTAAGAAAACCAAATCTAGAAACTAATTAAGATAATTAAACAAAATTATGGAAAAAAAATATTTAAATTCATATAAAATATTTATTAACGTAAAAAAATTCTGAATATTTATGTACTAATTAATGATAATTTTCTCAGAGTATTTTTAATAAAAAAGGTTCGTATTTTGTTAACAATACTATCGCGAGATTACTTTTTAAATTCAAATAGGATTCACTCATTAATTTAAGAAAATTTCGTCCTGATATGCTTTTATATCGTCGCAACTTAATTAATAATGACCTTCTAAGGAAACCAAATAGAGAAACTAATTAAATTTAAATTAATTATAATAATTAAGCAAAATTATCAAAAAAATATTAAATATTTATTAACTCAAAATTATACTTTTAATGCAAGTAGGGCTTAAAATATTTCTGAATATGTACGTATTAATTTATGATAATTTTTTTAGAGCATTTTTGAAAAAGATTTTTTATTAATATTGACTTTCTAAGAAAGCCAATTCGACAAACTAATTAAATCTAAATTAATTAAAATAAACAAAAATTTCCGAATATGTATTAATTTATTTTTTGACGGTTTAGCTATTGTTGCTGCTCCATTAATATTAAGGAACAACCATTTGCAATAAATTATTGACAAAATGTCGTTCGTTTCTTTTTTGAAAGCAAACATCACGTCACCTATAATTATAGCGAAATTGGGTGTGATGAATGTTTCGAAAAAATCGTCCGGCACTCCCAAATAAACCAAACAGAGTCTCAAAATCGTACATATCGACCCGAAGGACTCGTTATCGTGTGTAGGTCGTGTTCTAGGGCTCACCTGCTGCAGCGTGTTCTGATCGCGGGGCGTAATGGCGTCCGTCCCGATACCGCTGTCCGGACTAGGGAGATCGACGGTAAGACCGGCGGCGGTAGCGGCGGCGATCACCCCCTTGCCGTGGTAAGTCGCTTGACGTACGTAACGTTCCACGAAACTGGCGGTCGCGCCCCCGCTGGCCGCCTCTTCGCCGTAAGCGATTTGGCCTTGACGTAATTGACTCGAATATACCGGTTCGGGGGTGCCGGCACCGGACGCGACGGTGGTGAAATATTCGCGATAATACGGATCGGAAGACACGGAAAATGCACCCGAATTACTCGGCCGCCCGCCGGACGTGGAATATATGGCCGAGCCGGAACCGATCGAACCACCACCGCCACCACCTCCGCCCCCCATCGAGCTCTGTGTATATTGGGCGACGTGATCACTGTACGGTATCGGGGACGGAGTGCCGCTGCCCCCGTGATGCCCCGCGTTATTCATGGAGGCAAATATCTGCGTGGTATACATCCCCGGTTTGAGTCCATCCGCGGAGATGAATTCGATGGGCCCCGTGTTGGAGCCGTCTGCCAAAAGGCTGCTGTGAGTCGAAGTAGGGGTGCCGTTAATCGAACGAGATCCGTGTTGGGGCGAGTTGAGTCCACGGTGACTCTCGTCCTTGATGGAGTTGACGTCCACCACCAGGTCGCCGGGCTGGTTGTTACCACCGCCCGCGGAAACCAACACGACCTATAACCACCAAGGGAGCGTTATATACAATAACATCGTGGAAATCGCATGCTGCACTAGGTGGGCCCTATAAAACCTACTTCCAACAACTACGGCAGGCGGCGACAAACATGCACTAAACTACATCGAACGAGGGCGGTTTTGCTTATTATTATTATTATTATTATTATTATTTTTTGGGTGTGCCGGAGAATGTCCCAGTTTTCGTTTTCATTCCCGTGCATGCGCGACGAACGATATCCCGCATACGCATATTTATATAGTAGGTACGCACAACGTGTCACCACAATTTTATCACAAAACGATCACCGGTATAATCACCTTCGGTCGGGATTGTTTCGATATAATTATCGAACCGTCTAAACTACCGGAACTCGGCGAGCTACAGTCGAGTTTCCGGTGATGGCTCAAGTCTTCGGGCTCCCTTTTGACAATCTGCAAGTTTTGCCCGGCTGTAGCCGCGGGCTGTGCGTACCCGACGTGTTGGTTAATAAATAAACCTTGCAACTCTTGCGAGCTCAATTGACCGCCGGTGCTCAGAGGCGGAGTCGGCAATTCTAGTCCCGCCCCACTTACTAATCCATTGGTCGCTTTCAGTTGCGACGTTAGGATACCGCCGGCTTGGGAACTCGGCCTGTAACAAACATATTACGTCATTCGCGCCTCAAATGGTGGGGCTTATTAGAGTTTCAACAATTATAATCGTTTATGCTAATATCCGGACGCTTCGTTTCTATCTGTTCCGTGCCAAAGGTTTCCGCACGGCTCGTGAATTTATATACCGGGTGATTGATGGTCGGATGGCCGGTGGTAGGCTAACGGCTTATAGATATTCGAAAACAGATTCTTTGCGACAAAATGTCGATTTCGTCGTTTTCGAGACAGTAATAACATGTGACAACGTCGTTATCTGAAATAACATTTACAAATTCATTGTTTTATTCTGATTATTTCTGCTCTCACATCTAGTGGGGTTTTCAAAATATTAATAATGTTTTTTTTTTTAATAAAATATATCACTAAGCTTTTCACTTAGATTTTTGGTTGCAGTTTGCAAAAGCGGCGTTTAAAATGAAAGATTCTGATGTAATATACAAAAATTACCAAAACCCCCCATTCTGTAATTCACTGTTTTCTTCTGATTATTCAGTGGAGTTTTCAAAATATTAATAATTTTGCTTTTTTTTTTCAATAGAATATATCACTAAACTTATAACTTAGATTTTTGGTTGCAGTTTGCAAAAGCGGCGTCTAAAATTAAACATTCTGATGTAATATACAAAAATTATTCTCTTTTTCAAAATATTAATAATTTTACTTTTTTCTATAAAATATATCACTAAAACGTTCACTTAGCTACCATTTGAAATCGCAAAGGATCGAGATTTTTGGTTGCAGTTCCAAAAGTCCTTAGATTTAACCAAATAAATTTATTCCATGGCATGGCAAAAAAATGATCAAAACTTCAAATGAGACACTGTAGATTCATTTATTCTTAAATTAATTGTTTTCTTCTGCTTATTTTTACTTTCCCATGCTAATCTTTCCATTTGCGGAAGCCCCGTACGTTAGATTTATCCAGGTACATAATTTTTTCCCATAATTTACAGTTTTTAGATTCTTAAAAGGGACACCCTGTACGTTATTTAAAATTCTAAAAGATAATAATATTAATAAATAACATTGTTACTTTTAGTAAGTAGTAACTCTTTCGAAATAATTGCGATTAGCCTAAAAAAACAAATATTACCATGTATATTAATTACCCATAGAACTGAAACTATTGAATCACTATTCGAAAGCAATTTTGTGATATTATTCATAGATATTAAAAAAAATCTGTTAAACACAACCAAACCGTAATCGATTTCGAATATCGATTAAACAACTGTTAAACAACATGGCGTTGTATGGCTAGATATGTTGTGCTTTTCATTTGAAAATAAAATATATTTTTCAATTTCAATAACACCTATAAAACTAGAATAGAATAGTTTTAACAGTTCGAAGAAATGCGGAATCGTTGATTTAAAGACGTGCCTTAAAGCAGCGTGACATTAAATTTTCTATAAGAGCACATTGATTTATTGGATCATCATGTTATAAATGTCAATCATAAATTCGCTAGATGTACTTTAGAGTTTTATGTAAGGATAGTCTCGAATTTTCTGGACTTTGCGAATAATAAAATATAGCAAACATTATACAGTTATTTGAACGAATCAAACCTTGTTAGAAATAATGAAACAAAAACAATCCTAACTTATAACTTCAAAGAAGAAAAAATGAACTATCCGGAAAGGACTATAGCATGACAATCAATTTAGATCAATTAGATTTCCTCCCTTTTTAGCCTTAGAGTAAATCAAATAATTGCTGATATATTTCTCAGTGTACATAGAGGCGAGGGTGTGTGACTACAGACGGCGAAAAAAGTTATTATAACCTCACGTGTTCGTGCAGAATGGCGCGTGAATCGCGCGGCATTGTGAAGGTGACCCAGTGTTCAGGTCGTAATAATCACGATTGGGCACCAACCGACGAACCAGTCTATGTTAGATTCTAACGCCAGATAAAGTCAAACAAGTCGCTTCTGCTACTTATACTACCCGACCAAATATACTTTAACTCAACTCGAATACTGCGCATCGTAGCTTGAACGGCTTCCGATGTCGATACCAGACGTTTATTTATTGATAAAGGGGGTAACGTGGAGCGGAGGAGAGTGGTACATACAATCGATAAATCAATTCGTGCGGCTCGATATTTTACGTCGAATTCTAGAAATGAAAAATGCGACCGCGAATTGGGGAGAAAAAGATTGAAGGTACGTGTATATCAGAAGTCGATAAGTTTAATGATCCATAAATAACTTCCATCTTGATATAGAGAGTTAACTGCGACCAGGTAAAAATAATATTACAACGTCACGCGAGATTTAAACTGGCGGCGCCCACAAGCACGCATACCCTCTTAAAAATCGATATTCGAAATCGATTACGGTTTGGTTGTGTTTAAGTCAAACTTAACCCGCCTCATAACTTAACGGGTTTGTTACCTCTATAGACTATATCCAATGAGGTGATTATATCCAAAGAGAGTAAGAAAAAACTGTACCTTCCTGTATTTCGGCGATTGAACGTGGTTTTATATGTCCAATGCTTCCCGTTGCATTTTTACTCAATCGTATAATGGGAGGCAAGAATTTTCCAAGACTTGCTGTTATATTGACGAATTTCTTTCGGATATAACGTCATTATTCTATATCTGCGGAAGCTGCTTGAGAAGGCTAAACCATTAAAGCCGTAAACACGGCTCCTTAATCTTATGAGAAACCCACACCTCGCACAAATCTGCGGGACTACTCATATCCGTTATAGAATTATTTCGCACATTCGTCACTTCAACTTCTGAATACATTCGAACGATTCATCTCTAGAACTCGCCGTGTTGTGTATTTCCATTTTGCCCCTTTCCGGTCAATAAATTTAATAATATCGAAATATCGCCGTAGACGGAGTAACTGTACATCCATTGGCGTAGTGAAAGCTCTTCCAACCCAACATTTACTTAAAATATTTTTTAATTTTTCAATTGTTCAGTTATTCAAAATTTCCGAATTTATTTTTCTTAACTCGTAAATATTACTCAGGGTCAGTGTATTAATGTAAAAATTGTAGTAATTATAGTCTCTATCGGGCAACTGAGAATTAGCTGCCATCTTGAGAACATCATAAAACAAAAAAAATTATGGTATCATCAGCGATTATTTAATGAAACTTATATATATCATAACCACCCTAATATGTATTGGTGAACCAAACATGGATCCATCTAACAAAACATGACGCCAATGTGCCAAGTGATTGATAATATGTTTCACTACCCCACCGAGCGTCCCAATTTTTAGGTTTCAACTCATCTCTCTCCTTAAGTCACTACGAACAACCAACGTAGTTGTATATCTGTATATATTCCCCAAGGTACATCAACATCGGTAATAAGGAATAAATTTCACGACTGCAATCAAATAGCATTTTAGCAAAATTACTTTTTTCCTACTAATCGCAATAGGTTGGTCAGGATTATTATGCCCAAATCTTTTCAAGTTTGAGTACCCCGAATATGTTACAGATTCATAAAATAATAATAACATTTGACCTTTTTTTCTTATTAACATTTGGATTAACGTTTTAATAAAAGTTTATGTATTAATTGATTGATCGATAAAGCCTAGGTATTAACAATTAACATCAATTTTATTCTAAATTCAAGGCACTCAGGGTACAATATTACAATAACATTATTTAACAATAGGGGCACATTAAGTGAACCATTTTGGGCAAAATTAATTACCAAAAGCATTAGCATAATGTTTTTTATGGTATATATGTTTGTTTTTCGTTGTATGTTATAAAGTAGCCAAATTTCATCTAAAGTTCTCGGGAAATGCGACTTTACCGATCGAGCTACACCACTGCCTTACGCCGTTTGAAATAAATATTTTAATGTTAAACCAACAAACGTTACTCACGCATGTATAAATCTCACGTTTGGGGGGGTCTCTATATAATTTGTAAGGGTTTTCACTTGATACTATCGGTATCGAGTTACTATGCAGATTCGAGATAAGTATTTTAATAATAGGGATTAAAATTACATATGTAGGATATTGTAGTGAGAAGCCAGAGAGATGAGCGCGTACGAATACGGAAGCGACCCGTATACCTATACGCCCCTTTGGGAAGTAGGTAATTCATAAACAGAGATTTAAATTCTACCATCACGGCCTTTTGAGTTATTTTGATTTATCGCCGGAGTTGTAAAGGTGTTTCGTTAAATATTTTTTTTCCGACGGCCTTAGGGCCAGGATTACGTTACCCCATCCAAAACAAATTCAAATGATGAAGCGGAAAAGTCGCTCGAATGCGGTCGGTACGATTTTAATTAGTCGGAAAAATTCAGAAGCCTACCATAACATATATAAAAAAAATCCTCTGCTGTTATGTAATTATAAAATCAGGCTAAAGATGCTCAAGTGTTTTTTATTATTTCACAATATCACAATATGAAGCAAATTAAAATAATAAAGGAAAATGCAAAAAAAAACGAAAGAAAAAAACATCAATGGTTTTTACAATGGGATACAAAGTTTATATTGAGGGTCAATCTAATAAATCCTCCCACGCCGTTCCGGTAGCTTGAAAAATTGTAAAAATTTATATGAATTAAGACGGAGCGAACCGACGATGGTTTGGATAAAAATAAGCATAAAATATATGCGAATCTTTTTTAGAATAAAAACGTCGCGTTCACAAATTTATAGTCATTCGGCCTGTATCGCTGCACTATATTTTACGTCGAGCACAATAGGCTTAACTTAAAAAAAATCCTTCTGAATAGCGGCTTCTGAATCAAAGACGGTTTGCATAATTTGTACGGATTTATTTTTGTATTTTCAATGCCTAACTCGGGCGTAGTCAGCGCACCTATAGTACTCTTCATCTTTATGTTCCTGCGGACCTTTTGCGATGGGCTTCGAATATAATACCGTATCGGTTCAGTTTTGCAAAATCCTTTCAGTAAAATACCGATTTAACCTCAAATTTATTCGAATATGTAATCGGATCCACCCCAACATTATATAAATGTCACCAGATTTTTCACTAAAGGCTATTGGTATTGATGTTAAAGTAAATAATACGCATGCATCGAATACTTACGGCCAAATGTCGGCCAACTTATCCTTGCTATCGGCCGGCAAAGATGGCAATTTGTAATATTCATAGATAAGGCCCATGGTGGCGGTCTGGTCTTCAGCGCCTCCGCCTATGTTAAGCATCGCAGTGGTGGCGGCGGTTAAGGGATGCTCGTAATACGCTCTCCAAGTCTGTTGATCCTCTGGAGGCGTCGCCCCCTCAGGCAATTCGGCCATACCACGCTGACCCACCACTGGCAAATCTCCGTTGCTTGTCTGCGACGAAGATGTATCTATGTGGTCTTTTCGTTTTCTGGAATAATATCGGCCGGTTAGTGTTGCCATTGAAGCGCTAAGGCAATAAATGTCGGCCTCTTTATTTTAATTTTAGTACTAATTATTGTCCACGTCAAATCGGTGTATGCTCCACCTAGTGCCACCTATCGACACGATAATCTTGCAAATATTTTTTCCAATTAGCGTTTGATGCTATAAAGGTAGGGACATCAATACCAATTTTCGACTCTTCCTTGGTTTAGATAAAGAAAAATGAATGAAAATCTAGCGACATTTTTTCCATCTGCAATTTTAAGTGAATATTTCAAATCGAGAAGAATGATTTAATTCAAGCAATAGTTGAATTTTTTTTAGCTTGTCAGCGACAGTTGCAAATACATATGGTTACATAATCTAAGCAATTTCTCATAAATAATTTAAATACTAGTAAAGTCCGAATTTATCATCGGCAATTAATCATAAGGAACGGGGAAGATTTTCCGTTTCTATACATAATGGCCAATGATTTGTAGTAAGTGAGCAACAGTGAGGAGGAACGTTAAATGTAAATATATTCGAGACACGTCTTGAGCAAAAGACATATCGAGATTTTCAACAGAGAAAACCACTTTTAAAATATCATCTTACTTGCGGACGCTTTAGAATTAATTTTTTTACGCTTCATTTTAAATCGGAACGCGGGTACGTGTTTGTGTTTGGTAAAATTAATTAGATACAATTAAATAGTTTTTAAGACGGATTAAAACGCCGATAGAAATGGGCTTTTTAATTGGTAACGTAAATAAAAAGGCATGCCCGGGCTTTTTACGTCGTCGCCAAGAATCTAACTTTGGAAATCGATGTTTAAATAATATCGAACAGCTTTCCATCGACTGGTTTGCAGATTTTGTTACTCTTTGGTTACTAATAATATAGTCATCCAGAACATAAACATTAACCGCTCCAAATTGTGCAAAACGAGCAACGGAAATAAAAAAAAAAATAACAGTACCAACAGTTCCGTAAAATTGGCGTCTCCACTTAAGTCGTGTTTAAAATATGCCTTTTCAAGTATAAATACACGAAACCTGCTTCGTTCATTCAGTCGGTGTAGTCAAACCCGTTTATTAGATTCATTCAAAACTTCTCTCGGCTACTCTTGAAATATGCTTAGTGAACTATTTGATGTAATAATTATATTGTAAAGTTATAATGCCGTTTGATTATATTCGCTCGCATTGCGCTTGTCTGCAAATTGCAAATTATAATAAAATATATTGACATTTAACAACGTCTCCTATGTTTATGAAACGAGCAAAATTGTTACAAACTTGTTTGTCGCGACTGCGACCACTCGGGCATCGAACACTCAGCAAGTTCTGCTTGAAATTGCTCCGCGTTCTAGCCGAGGAAATTATAATAAATATTTATATGTCTTAAGATGGCTAATCAGTTATTCGACGACACCTTTTTGTTTATTTATTTATTTGTTTATTTCGGTGCGCAACGTAATGTACAAACATTACAATTTACAGGGCAAACATTAGTTATAATATATATATATATATATATATATATATATATATATATATATATATATATATATATATATATATATATATATATATATATATATATATATATATATTCTCACGTATTGATTCACGGATGGAAAAATGTGATGACACTATATTCCGGGATATCATCCGTTCGCTCGTTGAACTCCGACTGGAATCCTGCATCCGACTGGAATCCTGCAAATCTTGCATCCGACTGGAATCCTGCAGACGTTTCGCCAAAATCTCACTTGGCATCTTCGATGCTCGCGCTCCGAGTGTTCGAAGTGTTTTCGGAGCGCGAGCATCGAAGATGCCAAGTGAGATTTTGGCGAAACGTCTGCAGGATTCCAGTCGGATGCAAGATTTGCAGGATTCCAGTCGGATGCAGGATTCCAGTCGGAGTTCAACGAGCGAACGGATGATATCCCGGAATATAGTGTCATCATATATATATATATATATATATATATATATATATATATATATATATATATATATATATATATATATATATATATATATACAGGGTTTTTCACTTAAAACTCCGCACGCCAATAACTCCAAAACGAAAAGAAATATTTAATTTATGTAAAAAGTAGTCAAAGTGTGGGGTGAAGTAGATATTTCCTAAAGTTTAAAAAATTCGACGCCTGCAAAGAGCTGGGCGTCGCGACGCGTCGAAAAATTATTCGATTGCAGAGACTTTGGAAATACGCGCATAAAAAAGTACATTTTATTTAAAAACTTTTTTGTTATTTACTTAAACTTATTTACTTTACCCGTTTCTAAGTTATACAGATTTAAAGTAAACATTTCTTGATTAATAAAAAATGTGATTAACGCTTATTTTTACAAGTATGCCATGAATGTTAGTTACTATGGCAACCATTGTTATCGCAGTTGTTTTAAGTGCAATTACAAACCTAAGTTGTTATTGCTGTGTCAAAAAATTGTCACATTTTGTCACAAGAAATATCCAAATTTGTTCGGTTTAAAAAAAACTAAGAATTATTATGTGGAAATGGTGCAATTTAGCAATGAGGAAAAAGTAGACATGTTACAAAAAAATGTATATATATATATATATATAAACAAAGTTATAATTAATTATTATGCGCTTGCTACTGGAGATGCCACGAACAAATGATTAATTGCTTCTGAAACAATAATTCTGGGTTTAAAATTACCCCGAGATTCGCGACAGGACGTTTTTTCAAACTGTAACTAAAATTATTTTTGAGCATAGAAGTTGTGATTTGTTTCAATTTTTAAGTTGTTTGTTTAGGTAATATTTGGGATAATGGGGTGAGACTTTGCATTTTGAAGAAAAGGCGAACATATCCAGAAAAAAACAGGTCGGTTGTGCGTCATATATTGGCTAACGTTATAATTTTTTAACATCATATATTTTTGCGAAACAATTTCACATGTTTTGTTGGCGAAATTGCCAATTTCATTTCGCAAAATGTAATAATCGCGTTTTATTGCGTCTAATAAAATTTTCGCCGAAACCTGACCCACATGTCAAAATTATACGATCATTTTTATATATGCAGATTTTAAACCGACTCTCCGCATCGTATAATGCAATCGAACAAGAAACGTTTGACGCCCAGGAAAAATTACCGCCATTTATATTCACACACTAAGAAGGAAAATAAATTGCGTGCGATTAAAACTTTAAAAGTGAATACGTGAGCCCTAAATGAATTGTGTGTTTAAAGATCTTCACTTTCGACGTTGATTGATGAAAGCTAATGCCTTTTCCCGACGTACGATTTCAACCCCTTCACTGTGTTCACACGATACCTTCATTTGTGCAGATTTGAGATTTTTTGTCATACACTTACTTACAGTTCGACATAAAAAGCGAGAAATTTATTCCTGATCCAAGAGAGCCAGCACAATAATATGCAATTATTGCCGCATAATGCGTTACAGAAGCCGATTGTCAAAAATTTTTAAATTTTTAAAATTGAGGTTAAAACGTCGCGTGCAATCAATTTAATCGCCCTGGACTAAGTATAAGCTGTAATTTATAAACAAGCGTAAATCTTTTGAACGGTGGTAAGTACATTTGAAAGTACCAGAAAAACAAAAACGTAGCCGCCCATAAACTACGATTTTGTCAGCAATAAAAATGATGTATGGCATATATTTATTGTAACGCTCGTTATTTTATCGAGCGTCGCGGACACGGGAGCCATAGTGTGACGTAATAATTTTTCTATTAATTAATAAGGGCGTGGTAACGATATCTTAAACGTGGATTTATATTCCTATATGAGTAGTGACGCTATTTGTCATTTTACGAACAACTTTCGCCAATATATAAAGATATTCCGAAAGGATCTATTTTACTATTTAAATGTCAAACGGTATTAATAGCTGCCCAAATCGATTTTCATAAATATGTTAATTTTGATAAATACGAACCGAATCTTTGTTTAAGGCGTTGTCGCTTTTGTTGCCTGCTTAAAATATTCAATTGGTGCCATTTAAATTTTGTGGATTTTCCGGGTATAACATTAACAGGCTTTTAATGTCAACATTCCCCGCTGACGCTGGCGCACGTGATTGTTAAGATTAACGTACATAATTTGAAAAAACATTGACGGAAACGGTTAGTATATGGCAGCAATTTTAGCAATTTGCGAACTCAGCAGGTCGCTTTTAAAGCTTTAACGCTATATTACAGGCCCCACAGATTTCTTTTTACAAAAATAAACGTTATGCAAATTTCTGAAAAGATTTAGCATTTGATTTTTTACCATCGTCTTTGTTAACATGATAGTTCGAGATTACGATGCCCACGAGCAATTTTTAAAAGAATTTTTGAATAATTTAACCATTATTGGTAATTAATATGACATAAAATTACCGTCCCGATGTATTATGTATGAATTATAGCAGATTATTGATGGACCTTGCGTATGGCACAGGAAAATGCTTATCCCGATAAAAAATCTGTCTTTATAATTAAAGTAAGTTGGTATATGAGGCCTTTAAATATTTAAACTGAAATATTATCTTTCTTGATCGTTAATCGTTTTGAAGCATTTTAAGCTGGTGAGAATTGGAATGAAACATCCGGCTATCATTAAGATAAAGATACTTCGTCGTAAAAAAAAGTAACGGTTAAAACGTCCGATCGATTTATACTGGACGTTAAAAAATACGATTTAAAAGCGATAGAGGCGCGATGGCGATTTCCCTTAAAGTACGTTATTGAACTCAACTGCTTTTAAAACAGTTATCGATTACGTATTGATTTTTGGGTACGCGCATTCCAACTTAACGGTCGCATAATGGCATTCTTCGCAAACAATTAAATGCGGAAGCTTATATTTACCGCAAGCGCATTTGAAAATAACTGTGGAAAATAAGTGTTGACAATTTTTTTTTCCTAATGCCGATGAGCAAAACAGTTTCGCCCATAATCAATTAGCGTACGGACCAAAACCTCCCGTTAGGGTGT